GGCTATAAATTATTTAACAAACAATAATAAAATCAAAGGTGTGTCCTTAAAATATTAGTTAATTTTAATATTTGAAATACTAAGCGAGAGATTTATAAATTAAATTTTTTAATATTAGGAGCTCTTACTAACTCAAATTATAAAAATTATTCTTATTGCCTAAAACTTTTAACTCCTAAATTAAAAGAGGATACTTTCTTTACTTACAAATTAGAGACTAGTTAAGCATAGTTCTTCTATTTCAATTTTGCTTATAACTAAATCATAATAAGCGTTGGATTCTAAATATTAGAATATAATTCTAGAATGAAATATTAGAAAAATAAAGTTCTAAATATTAGGAGAATAATTAAATGACTATTCCTAAATATAAGAAACTAATAAAATGGCTATTCCTATATATTAGGAAAATAATCAAATCACTATTTTGTCCAGCGAAAACTCTATTTAAGGGGTTAAAAGATGGCGAACGATATTTCGCTAAGGGCCATCGTGCTTTTAGTATAACTAGTTACTATGTCGTACGTTGCACGTAAACTTTAGTCAGAACTTTGATATGAGAAGAACAACTAACTAAATTTAGCAACAAATTTAATTTATAAGATGAAATAATCATTGTTATTTTATCATATTCAAAGCAATTAAAATATAATTATTACAAATGTTCTGATAAATCAAGTCCATGATATATATATATATATATCATGGACTTGATTTATCAGAACATTTGTATAATTAATATTTTATTGCTTTTGAACATTTGTATACATATTTTATGTAATTTTTGGCTAGCTAATAAAATTATCTTTGACAAAGCGATCAATTTTGTATTTTATGCTGGATTTAAGCATTGTATACTCCATGGTTATATAATAAATGCAAAGGATTTCGATATTTGTACATTTTTCACTCAAAATGATCGCCCCGCTCCTCAAAATATAATAAATATAATAGTCACAACCATGCAACAAAAATAATTACATGTGACACCTATTAAGATGATTTTTTTAAAAACATATAACGTAACATTATTGAGAAATTTTTTCACAATTTTTTGAACATATGTAAGAGTAATAAAATACACGGTTAATCACATGAATCACACAATTGCGTCGAGTTCATACCTTTTTACTTGAAAATATTATCGAAAATTACGAAGAAGTATATAATAATTTTGGAATTCATTTCAATGTTTGAGTTAAAAATAATTTTAGAACTTTTGGGTAAATCTCCACTATTTAAATATGTACTATCGAGAATAATCAAGAACTACATGCACATGAAGAATAGATACATTTAAAAGAATATATTACTTTAATACTCTAAAATAACATATGTATCCCTCAATAAACCAGTACCTTGAATAGTACAAATATTTATTTTAAAATAAATAAATATTTATTATTTAGAATAAGGTAAATATGAAAAAGATAGATAATTTGAAAAACAAAAAAACTCAGTATTTCAAAAACAAGATAAAATCAATACCTTATATTATACAAGCTTCCTATTTGTTTGGAAAGTTTCAGTTGATTTTCACATTCTATATATGACCATCGTAATATATTTTTATTTTTGTAACAAAGCCGATCCAATCATTGTGTTTCACTTACTTTCAACTGTTTTTTTGCCAATCATCACGCATAATTCATTAATAATAATATTCTAAATATTTTACTTCTCATTTGAATATAAATTGATGTAACATTGAATTGAAGACAATTAATGGCATATGAGCATCTAATGAAAATAAACCAATCAAAGAAAAAATTTGTTAAAGTTCAATATATAGACGACTTGAACGAACTTGTTCTAGGAAACTTAATCTAACATATACCATCGATTTTCATTGAGAAAAATTTGTAAAGGAATCAATTGCTCATATTGAAATAAAAATAAATAAATTAAAGAGACAAATTCATTTTGTATTACTAGAACCACCTTATTATCATGTAAAAGAAAAATATATAAACTTGCCCCTATATTTTTTTATTATTTAAAAGTAGATTTTATATTTTAAAAGATTATCATTTAATTATATTTTTATTATTTAGTATTTTAAAAATTAACTCAATTTATTATGTAACAACTCCTCATATTTAGGAACACATAATATATCATATAATTTAGTTTTAGCTTTATATGAACTAATAAAAATTAACTTTAAAGGATAGTAAGAATATTTCAATTTGTTTAAAATGTTACAAATGTTTTTAGAGCATATTACGAAAATTTTCTTTTAGTACATGCCTTGTTTGTTAATAGAGAATTGTAATTAGGAACAACAATTTTTTTTATAAAAAATTATGGACGTCCTTTCTTATTCAAGTAGAATCGATATTGTAGGATCAGCAATATTTGTAATTTAAATCGAAATAGGATTCCATTATTAGGTAATTTACTATTAGATCCTTAAATTATACAAATATTTAAGGGCATAAAAGTCGATCAATATCTCAGGGATATTTTAGTGCTTCAACATTTAGCATAAATTATTCGTGCTTTTATAATAATGTAGATGTAATATAGATATAGATAAATTATATAGATTTCTAAAAATACAATGAAATAATTCAAATTACAAGTAACAAATTTCATATAACCAGAACGATAGAAAGAAGGCAAGTGTAAATAACTTTCAAATGTAGTTGTAGTTTAAAAATTTGTCCAACGTAAAAGATATCATGTACAAATCTTCAAATCTTATATCTTATGTATGATAGAAACTTTGTTTAATGGAAAAGATTTTGTGCATATTTTTACAATTATTATTAGTAATCTTAAAGAGTCTATATGGCTGTTACAGAGGGGTAATTTTACAAAGAGAGTTCTGTTATAAATATGGTTGTTACTGTTATAGGTAAAAAAACTGTTATAGAGAGGTAAAATATAAATTTAAAAACCGATTCTAAGAAAAACTTGACTTTTATAGTGAAGGACTGTTTTATACTAATGATGTTATAAATAGGTTTGACTCTAAATGCAAATCATATCATTATATTTTTTTAAAATAAAAATGGAAATGATTAGCAATCCCGGATTAAGCTGACGGAGGTCAATTTTCAAATTCTTACATTGTCAGCCAATCTTAAATGAGAAGGTTCTATTTACTTTATTTATATGGAAAGTACATAACTCTCAGATCCATCTGTGACGGTGCAATTTAGTTTGTGCAAAGTGCAAATTCATATTGTACGAACCTAGATTAATGTGTTATTATTAACATAAGCATTGACCAGTTAAACAAATTGGCCGATATCTATTATTCCCGCACAATGCGTGTCTTGGATCCCGAACGCTTGAGCCTGGCTTCTCGAACCAAATCTTCTTATATTATTTTTCAAGTTACATTGTATAGACAAGGTCCAGAACTTATAAAAAACTTTTACTTCTCTTCTCCTCAAACACTAAAAGCAAATAATTGTTTGGTTCGTTTAACTAAAAACTTTCCTATAATTTGAGATCTCAACTGTCTAAAATTTAATTGGTGAGGACAAATCAAGTTAAGACCATAGGAGAATACCAAAACCATGTTCAAGTTAGATTTAAATTTTATTCAAAGAGGCTGTAAAAGAAATTACACGGTCCATACTCTTCTATAGATTAATTTATAGTTGGTGAAATTTACCTGCAGTTGAAATTTAACTGATCTGTTTATAGAATATATTTTTATGTTATAAGGTAATACTTGAACTCTATGGGGTCGTTTGTTTGGAATATGATTTATACCGGTATAAGTTATGCCGGTATAAGTTATATTGGGATAAATTATGCTAGGATTGTTGTTTATTCATTGTTTGGTATGTTGTATTAAGAATGACAATTGCATAATTTCTAAGAAGAAGGCATAAGTTATACCGGTTCTAATTACCCCACCTTCTACAATGTATAAGTTATCCCAGTGTTTAAATTAACATCGGGATAACTTATACATGATTTTGCTAACCAAACAGAGTATTAAGGTGGTATTAAATATTTATACCGTCCTTATACCTTCTTATACCTCATACCAAACGACCCTATATGTTTTCAAAATCACAGCTGAAGAAGCCTCTAGATGGTACTCTCAAATTTAATGTCACGGTGCAGGCAAGCATAAACGACATGATTTGTTTTACCTACCAATAAGTTTTCTTTTACCCACATGCAAATTTTAGACGCCACACCTAGCTGGTAACACGTTAAACTCAGCGTCAAGAAATTCACACAACTTTTTCCTGATAAGTCTCACTAGTTTATACAAGTGCGATACATGATCATCCTCACCTTTTCTGAAAAAATAAAATTGACACAAGTAATAAAAAATTAGTCTTTCTTTGGAAAAATAATTTCTCTGTCAAATCTATTTTTGTGGTTCTCGAAATGCTTAAGCTTCATTTGAAAGCTGGAGCTAAAGTCAGTCAACTCCCTAAGTATACAAAAGCAAGTGTGTATATATACGCGGGACCCATGCTATGGTATGAAAGTGGGGGAATTTGACATTATTACTATTAGTGCCCTTTGCCATGTTACTGTAGACTTTCTAGGACACAATGGCGCATAAAGAATGCATTTTATTCACCTACAAAATTAGTTAGACGTTTGCTTTTTCATTTGGTTTTCTCTATATTTTCTAGTTTAATTGAAATATGCTTTTTATTTTTTTAGTTTAACAGAATAATTATTTTGTGAAGAAAAAAAGTGAAGCATGCTTTGCACTCCAATCAAGTTAAAAACACTCTATTAGATTTGCATTATATTAGAATAAAAAAGAAAAAACTAGAAGCTATTTTTTTTCTTTAACCTTTTTCACAAAGGGTGATCTGAAGACACGCAGCGTTACTTATAAACTATTTTACAAAAGTTAAATAAATGAAGAATTAATATATAGTTGCATGATAAGGTAGTATTGATAGAGTACATAGAACAATTCTCTTTTGAAAAGTTTGGGTAAAGTCGTTCCGTAGCCTTTTTATCCCAAATATTTCATTTTCACTCCTATCCCACAAAAGAAAAAGGACCACCCTCCTCTATATAGATAATAATAATCAATCCCCTCCTCCACTCCCTTTCCATTTCTCCTTCACTCTAAAAGCTCCACTCCCAAACTCTCCTCTTCCCTCCTCCCTCTGCACCACCACACCCACCGCCGGAGAAACATGTCAGAGAAAAAGTGCAGCCACCACAAAGACAAGAAGAAGAAGATCGTCCGGCGAATTTGCGCCGCTATTCTCATCTTCCTCTTCTTAGTTCTCCTTACTATCCTCATCGTTTGGGCCGTTCTTCAACCAAAAAAACCCCGTTTCATCCTCCAAGACACTACCATCTTCACCTTCAACGTTTCCGCCCCGAACATCTTCTCCACCTCAATTCAAGCCACCGTTTACGCCCGTAATCCCAATAGGAACATAGGCATATATTACGACAAGATGGATATTTACGCCACCTACCACAACCAGCAAATTACGTATTACACACAAATTCCTCCTGTATACCAAGGCCACAAAGACGTCAATATCTGGTCGCCGTTTGTTTTCGGTAATAACGTCCCGATTGCTCCGTATAACGGCCCTGGACTCACCGAAGACCAACAAAATGGCGGCGTTTGGCTCGACTTCAAAATGAACGGCCGTGTGAAATGGAAAGTAGGGTCTGTTACAACCGGTCACTATCATCTTCACGTCACGTGTTCCGCCTATGTTCCATTCGGTGACCACCCTGCTAACGGCGGAATCGTCGTCGGCAATAACGCCGTTAAGTACCAGCTCTCCCGGAGCTGTGATGTCAGTGTTTGAAGTTCGTTTTTACTACCGTTAAGTATTTAATTCCCTTCTTAAACCTATTTTTACTTTTCCACCTTATTTCAGCTTCAGCCTCTCTTTTTTAAATTTTAATTTGAGTCTTTTGTCCTACATAGTTGATGAATTGTACATTTTGCTAAAAATAAATTTGGGAAGGAAATATTGAGGATGGGACAGATACCAAAAATTCACAATATTGTAAGAAGTTGTATTCATTCGGATTATGTGTAATTTACAATATATTATATTGTTTCTTCTCATTAGAAAAAAGTGACAATTATTGTTGTACAAGTTGTCAGTGTCTTCGATTTCTAACCATTAAATATTTTTAAATTGATCGCGCTTACTTGATGTTTACTCTTCTCTACTTTTTAAAATTTTTAGTGCTAATTGTAAGTTAAAAAATATTTTAGATAAAATGGCTTTAAAATTGCCAAAGATTGAGGGTTTGGTCCATGGGAACATATGAGCTGTATATTCGTTAAGTCTATGAGTAAAGAAGGCCATGGCCATGTGCTGAATTAAGATAGTCTGCCAAACCATGACTTGTTATTTTCCTCATTTCTCTTTTGGTTTCTAAAAATTCAATGAAGAATTGAAGATAACAATTTAGGGGTGTGTGTGGGGTTCGGGGTGGGGTGTGGGGGGGGAGGGGGGGGGTACAATTTTGTGAACTACGATTATCACTACTTTTTATTTTACTTGTACATGCTGTTAACATATAAATCACAAGTTCTGTACTTGGTGATATCTTAGTTAAAATTACTCTGAATATACTCTGTATTTCATAGTTAAATTTTCAATGGTTGTTAGCTAAAAGTTTTAAAATCATAAAGTAGAGGGTTATAAGTTCCACGCCTATCACACTATCAGTGTAGTTTAACCGATTTAATATATTAATAATATATTTTTTTAACTTATTATATTAAATTCGCTACAAAAATTAATTTTTAATGCATATAACTTAAATCAAAATAAAAATATCATCTAAAGAAATTCTTGGAAGTTACTTTAATTAAAAAGAAAAGAACCTCATGATTTTGGTGCTTTTTTCCGAAAGTGCGTAACAAGGTGAGGCATTTCGATTAGTTGCCGGGATTAATTATTATGCAAGTGTTTGTTAGGTAAAGTGTTTCAGTGGGAAATTAATAAATTATCACCCATATTGGGCTGAGCCGCCGGCTGAGGTAAATAAAAGAAAATGGCCAAATTTGTAATATAACAAAGAGATAAGGTTTGAGGAAAAAAAGGCAGTACGGGCACTAAACTCCTGCTATGCACAGGGTCCGGGGAAGGGCGGACCACAAGGGTCTATTGTACGCAATTTTATCTGTATTTATGCAAGAGGTTGTTTTCACGGGTTGAACCCGTGACCTACTGGTCACATATAACCGCCCTAAAATAAAAAAGAAAGAGCGTGTACCGGCAAAAGTTATACTCCTAAAATATATGGGTTTGTTTGACTCGCGCATAGAGAAAGGTATAATAAAACAATTCATACTTTGGTTAAATGTTTGCTTACCATCACTATTTGATTGTTAGTATTAAATTTGAATAATTAGATATACTTTCTGGTTACCATTTTATTTTCGTAGTATTACCCATATAACTTATGAAAAATATATGTATTAATTAGTCAATGCTACATAGAAATATGAAAAAAAGTACTCCTATTAGTAATACCTGACTATACGAAAAGAAACACTAAAGTGGTAAATGTGGATATACTTCCAAATTAACTACCATTTCTAAAAACAAGTGTGTTTCAACTTCTTTTCTCAAGATTGATAAAGCTTGTTTCTTTTATTCTTAAAGATGTTTTCGGAAAACACCTTTTCATCAGCTGATATAAAGTTAATGAGGTAAAACGAGAAGTTTTATTGTGTGCCTCACACGACTGATATTAGTTGTGTGAGGTGATGTGTGGTTATAATTCCATAGTTTCGTACATTATGTGCCTTGCATTTTACATGCTTTAATGATAAATTATACTTTATTTGTGCGTAATGGAGTCTATTTTATGTGTAGGTGAATTGGAGATGAAAGTAGAGCAAAAGGGATACTTAAACGTTGAAAGTGGGCTCGAGAACGGTAAAAAGGAGAGACCTGGCAGGCTAGGCAAAGGCCAGCTTAACCAGGCTTTAGCCTGGCGAGGCCAGCCAAAGGCCAGGCTGAGGCCGGCGTTAGGCTGGCGCTGCAAGGCAAAAGCCAGGCTGAGGCTGGCGTTAGGCTGGCGACGCCATGCCTAGGGCGAGGTCCAATCCGAGTTTTGAAGACTTAATTCGTTTCCTGGCTTGACTAGGACTTGACCTACACGTTTAGGTCTTTTCCTACACATATAAATAGACCTAAAAACGTCTCTCTTGAGAGAATTTAGACCTAGGGAGAGCACGGAGCAGCCGTGAAGACCGGGGATTCGACCTAAGGAGGCAAGAACACACTAGGAGCAAGGCGGAGAATTCTTTTACGAGTTGTTCGCTTCCTTCTTCCTATTTCCTTTATTGGTTATGACTTCTAGTATTGTAATTTTGCATACTATTATGAATAGCTAATTTGTTATCTAGGATTTTGATGGAACATATTGGAGGATGATTTTCCTGTTACGTTAATATAGATTTATTGTAGCTTTTTCTCTATTTGTTCAACTACGTTTATATTGTGGTTGGTTGAAAAGCTCTCAATCGACTGTGCCTATTTAGTGTGTATTACTCGGGAGAGAGTGCCTATTTTGGTAGTTGTTGAACAACATCACTCCTAACATATATGAAGGATCAATACGGAGGGTTTAAAGGTGGGATTAGGGCCCGAAACCTTGGTGCGATCAGAGTGAGCCGTATTTAATGCCAGCTAGCGTAATTCGGGAGAATATGTCTACTAAATTGTGGTAATTACTCGGGAGAGAGTTACGACAGTCAAAGTGCTCATGATCGGTAGAGACTTAGACAAATTTATAGAAGACGTAGCGGAAAGGATTCCGACAATAGGGGAAATCATAACTCTAGACCTCCTTAATCTTGTCTCCAATCCTTATCCTTGTTAATTGATAGTTTTACTGATTTCTAGTATCTGTTAGTTAATTAGATAAAAATAAATAATATAATCTTTATAATTAGGAAATTGTTTGCACTTGTGTTTCTTAGCGATATTAAACAGCTGTAGCTAAGCCTTAGTTCTTTGTGGGATTCGACTCCGGACTTGTAAACAGGATTATGTTTGCAACGACCGCTTAGTCCTTTTTAGAAGACATAGTTGGGCGTGATCATGAAGTTCCTTTTTGTCTCACAAATTTTGGACCCCAATCTTACACTTCTGGGTTCACCACTACTAGAAATCCGGTAAAAAGCGACCACAAAAAGCGACCAAAGTTGGTCGCTTATAGGCCTAAAAGCGACCAAACATGCCTGGTCGCTATATTACTGGTCCCTTTATTTTAGGGACCAAAGTTGGTCGCTAATTAGCGACCAACTTTGGTCTCTAAGGTAAAAGGACCAAATATTCCGGGTATTGACTATAGCGACCATCTTTGGTCGCATTATTATTTTAATAATATAACTTTGGCGACCAAAGTTGGTCTCTAAATATAAAATACGTTTTTTATTTTTTTATTATTAATCATAAAAAGCGACCAACTTTGGTCTGTAATCCAAATATTATATTTTAAAATCTGAAAAATTGAGACCAAGGTTGGTCGCTATTTTTTTAATTTTTTTAATTTTTTTTAAAAATGAGCGACCAAAGTTGGTCGCTAATTTCAAGAATTTAATTTTTTTTAAATATAAGCTACCAAAGTTGGTCGCTATTTTTCCAGAAATTGTTTTTTTAATGGAATAGCGACCAAGATTGGTCGGTTTTTAGAAATATGGGTAAAAAGAGACCAACTTTGGCCGCTATTGCCCAGAAAATTATTTTTTTAAATGAAAAGCGACCAAAAAGAGACCAAAGTTGGTCGCTTTTTTGGGTATTATTTTGGCAGAAACTGCCTGTTTTGGCAGCTACACCACCTGCCAGCATACCAAATCCCTATTACAAGCAACAACAAAAACAATACCAACAACAACAACAACAACATTAAAACCAACAAAGTATAAAGTTCAATAGAACTAACACATTAAGCTAACAAAACTAAGTTAACGCTTATTACAAGCCCATTCGAAAACTGGTTCTATTGTCTAGTTCAAAGTATATAAAGTACTCAAGGAGTGTTCTTTCAGCATCCTCGTCCGAAAGTTGGATTGCCTCGCCCGACTCATTAGGTGGCTGACTGCGTATGAATTCCTCCACATCAGATGTGAAGCGAACCTATAAGAAAAATTATATTAAATTAGTATTTTAAAATTTATATAAAAGTAAACAAAAATACTTAATGAAAAGTAAAAAACTTACATGTATAGTCGAGGCTCGACCCTCGACCCACCTTTCTGAATCAGTCTCTTTCTTCTTCTTTACAATACGAGTTTCATTGAATAGCTCATGATCTTGCTTCATTGGCATCATAAAGTTGTTTGGTGGCTTTGGTGATTATCCTCGGGATGAACTTGGATACAGTAGCTGACAGGGTGTGTCTTTTGATCAATTGTTGTTCTCGTTAGCGACTGTAACGACCCGATCGGTCGTTTTGAGCTTTAGTACTCCGTTCAGCAGCTTGAGGATGTGAGCAACTTCATTTCAGGTATTATGACTTGTACGCGTGGTCGGAATTGAATTTTGGAAAGTCCAGAGTTGAATTGGCAGGAGAATTCTCATTTCGGAAGCTTAAAGTTGAAAGAATGAACTAGGATTGGATTTTTGAGTAAGCGACCTCGGAATCGAGATCTGAAGGTTGCAGCAGGTTCGTATGATGATTTCGGACTTGGGCGTATGCCCGGTTCGGGTTTCGGACAACCCGGGAGCGTTTTGGCGCCTATTGTGGAAGTTAGCATTTTAGAAGAAATTTTATAAGTTTGGCTTGAAGTGCATTTCAGTGTTATCGATGTTCGTTTTGGATTCCGAGTCTGCGAATAGCTCCGTATGGTGATTCTGGAGTTGGGGGCGCGATCAGAAGTGAATTCGGAGGTCCGTGGATCATTTTGGAACCATTTGGCTAAAGATAGAAATTTTAAGGTTTTTGAGGAGTTTGACCGGAGGTGGACTTTTTGATATCGGGGTCAGAATCCAATTCCGAAAGTTGGAGTAGGTCCGTAATGTTGAATATGACTTGTACGCAAAATTTGAGGTCTATCGGACGTGATTTGATAGGTTTAAACATCGGAAATAAAAGTTTGAATTTTTGAAGTTCATTAAGTTTGG